ACTCCCTACGTAGATGCCCACCATGCCGCAGTTGTGGCACTTCCGCGGATCCGACGGCCCCCTCAGAGGTCTTTCCCTGTCCGCCAGTCCAGCATTCCATGCCGGCCTGCGACGCTTCGTGGCCCGTTCCCCTGTTCGCTCCACCTCGAACAATCTCCGCCCCGTCTCCACTCTCTTCGCCGCTTCATACGCTTTTCTGAGAGTTGCTCCTATCCCCAGATCGAAGATCTTCACCTGCACGTCTCTTTGGAGCTCGTAGTTTAGACCGATCAGGAATTTGCTGACCAGCCTTCCTTCATATCTTCACCCAACTCCACCGGACGGCCGTAGTATGCCAGCAAGGATTCTCCTTGCCTTCGTCGAAACTCTCAAAATTCTACGACACGTTCGGGATTCTGCAGCAGGAACTGCTCTCGAAGCATCTCCAGAAATCAGACGGTGGGGTCTCTCTCTCCCGGCCTTCCCCGTGCTGTCCATTCCAAGAGATCCCGTCGGCTGATCCGATAATAGTCTCGGCCTCCCTCGTCAGAGTATTGGCCAAGCCTCTGAAGAACTCCTCCGTCGCCAATCCGTCCCGCTCCCATCTCGCCCGTAGATTCTACAGCTGCATCAGATAGTTCTTCAACGACGGGTCGCGCCATGTCTCTCCCGAAAACCACTCCGGGACTTCCACCTTTCGCAGCATGGTGTATCGCCACCGTGTCATCGTCGCTTCCTCCTCCGATCCCTGCCACGATGCGCTCCATTGATACGGTCAATCGCTCCCCTTGACCATTTCTGCTCTCGCGACACCCTTCTCCGGCGCGAGCTTTCCCATCTCGCCCATCGCTTCTTCCCGTTCCGTCTCGAGTGCCTGCCCGCGCCCGTCATCCGAGCCCATGGCTCCACCCAGGCTTCCAGTCTCCTGCCTTTCCACACCTTGCGCAGTCACATTCGTTCCTGGCTCCTTCTCGACGCCTCTTCCGCCTTCCATCACTCCAACTCCTATTTGCGACTGCTTTGCAGTGTAATCCAATCCCAATCTCGTGGGCATATCCTCCTCGATCCTGAAAACTTGTATGTGATAAGCTCTTTGCTCCCTCACATACCTCCTAACATCCTGTCCATTCTTCAGCCACAGCTAATTATGTCCCCCTAAATTCACTGTCTGCTCAGATCCACTGCAAAACAATCGTGTAAAAAGGAAACATACAAGCATAAGAGAAACTAATCCAAGAATCCACCTACCTACCAGCGCATTCCACCGCCTAACGTCCATCCCGCCATTCACTAGCCTAGACGTTACGCAGCCGCAGCTGCTTTCGACAGGCTTACAACCCTTCAGCTTCTTGCCCTCCAGCCTGCCACCTTCTACTTGCCTCCAGCTGGCTCTGTGCAGCTCCAACTGGCTCCTTGGGGAGTTCCTGCAAACAGGGGAAACAAACATGCATGCATGCCAGTACCCATCCCATATGTCACTGCCCTCCGCTTTCCCCACACTGCAGCTGCCGAGTGCTACGCCATCTCTGCCCACTCTCCCCGCTTGCTTACGCCACTCCCGCTCTTGTCACTTCTAGCCTACCCCTCCAACTGACAACCTCCCCACACCTCGCCGCCCATTCCGTGACACTCGAGTTGCCACGTGTCCTTTCGGCTGCCATCCTCCACCTCGCTATGTACAATTTGTACAAAATGTACACCTCGGTTTTCCTCTGCTTTCTCCGTATCCTCCACATTCACTGAAATGTGAGACAGTAGCGAGCAATTTACAACAAGTCGGTGTTGCTTTGAGTTCGGATAGCGCGTTAGCCGTCGTACGGGCGCGTGCGGTAACATGTTCCCACGTTGCTGATCCCGAGGAGTCTTGCTGGATAAGCACTCCAAATTTCTTTCGGCTTCATCGAGCTGGCAAATGGGGATGTCGCCAGAGTCAACTATGAGCTCAGGTTGGATATGGATGGGAAGGATAGAGCACTTTCCCTAGTTGGGGTGTTCGCCAGAGATTAGAGCGAAGGAGCGCAGACGTTCTTTCGCAAGTCGAAGTTCCATGTTGGAGTTGAGAAAGATGGAGATGTCGTCTGCATAGCAAGTTGCCAGTCACCTTTGTGTACATGAGAGCGAAAAGCCTGGCAGTGAGGCAAAGAGGTGACGATTTAAAACATCAATAACGCAAATGTAGAGCAAGGGGGGCAGTGGACCACGGGGAATAGAGGACCATATAAATTATTGACTAAGATCTGAGTTTGAGTTTGTAAGTGTAGGAGCTAGATCCAACGGATAAAAACATTGGGAGACCAATGTTTGAGAGCCAACGGTACATGAATTGTCGGTCGACCAGATCGTATGCCTTGCGGATGTCAACGGAGAGGACAAGGAGGGGGAGATACTGGGTGGTTGCCTAGTCGATCACGTCGAGCGTGTCATTGATGGTGTCTCCTATTCGCCAACCTTTGATGAAATCTGACTGTGCTGGGCGAATGAGACGGCTCAGAACGCACTGTAGACGGTTAGCAAGACAAATAGCAAGGACCTTATAGTATGAGTTCATAAGAGTGATGTGCCGAAGGTTCTCCACGAGTGAAGAGTCCCCTTTTTGGGAAATTGGATTGTGCACCTACGAAGCATAGACGTAGGAAGAGAGCCTTGACTCCATATGGAGTGGAAAAGTTGTAATAAGATGGGGGCCAAGTGGCATTTGTGGGCTTGGTACAGATCGCCAGGGAGGTCATCGTTTCCGGGTGAGCGACCGCAAGATAACATTATATAGGTGCGTTCAACCTCGGAGATTAAAATGGGGCTACTAAGACCTGACATGCAGGAGGCAGGGAGGGTGGATGGATATATATGTGTTCAAAATCCGGAGTTAGGGAGGCCCCAAGCATTGCCGTTATAGAACTAGGCAAAGAAAGCAGAGCTATGATTGACCATTTCTTGCAGCTTTGAGGTGGCAATTCTGGAGGAGAGAGTGAGAGAGGTAATTTGTGTGTCCTTGATCCTTCTGCTCAACCCTGGTAGAGGGAGGAGATGCCCAATTGCATTGAACTTTCCACTTTAAGCTGAGCCTTTATTGCAATTTCGATTGCATGATGTCAGACGCACTGGTCAAACTGTTTCGAGAAACGGTCCAAAAGATTGGACGCGTGGATATCTGACGGGTGACGTGAGAGATGAAGCTGAAGTGTGCACATTTCGTCCTAAAGGTGAGCCATGGTCATAAAAACTCGTGTACTTTCTTCCCTTGAGTATAGTTTCAAGGAGCGGCGCAGCGTAGTTTCCCATGATTACCAGGACTCCGGAGTGACAGAGCCGCTGAGGTGCTTAGCCGAGACAGTGATCAGATTAGTTGTGAACGGTGTGCGGACAAGAGAGAGGGGGGGGCGCCATGGTCTAGGGGAGCAATTAGGGTTGACGAATGAGAGGGAGCAGCAGGGGCTGCGGTAGTGGTTCGAGAGGACGTGTGGGACCTAGGGATACTCGGCAGCCGAGAGACGCGGAGCCCAAGACTGGGACACGTAAATTCTATCGAGGCGAGAGGCAGGGGCTGAGATCCCGGCCGGGGACACATGTGTAATGGATCGGAAAGAGAACACGACTTTGTTCGGGTGAAGGACGCAAAACCCATCAGTGAGCGTGAGGATTGAAACGTCTCATCTCGGTTAGCTCGTGTGCCCGTAGGGGGCGGTTACGATCTTGGGATGAGGAGACAGAGTTGAAGTCGCCCACGAGAATGGTACCTTCTCCGGTAGAGGTGTCCATGAGAGTGGGTGTGTCTGTGGAGTCCCACCAAGAGCACCGCTCAATATAGGAGGGAGCATAGATGGCAATCAGCCGGAATTGATCTTGTGGATAGTTTACAAAAACTTTTAGCATGCGCCCATCGTGCAAAGCACAGTAATCAGTGAGAGAGATACGTTGGTTGAAGGTTAAAATTGCTATAGCCCCAGGTGATGCACAGTTCGAAGACAGACGATGTGGAGCTTGAGCATATGGGAGGGGTCTTAGATTATTAATGAGTTTCTTGCTAGTGAGATGGGTATCAATCAAAATGAGGATATTCGGTAATTTGTGCATCCATCATATTGTTCATTGTTTCCGTAGGTTCAGGCCATTGATATTCAAGCATAAATTTTTAATGTGGTTCAACATATAATGTTGTGGTATCCCAGTGCCTTTGTGCGCACCCATCCACGGGCCAAAGAAGGAAAATAGGTTGGTGGTAATAAGAATAATTGGCAGCGACCTTAAACAAGAGGTGTGGAAACATTGCAAGGGCTGCGTGAAGGGAAGTTGGCGCATAAGAGGCAAGGCCGAAGGTGCTGTAGTGATTAAGCATGCATGGCCATTGTCCTATTACTCCTGAGACAAGAAAAAAGCAATGTTATTTTGATGCAGCAGCGCCTTGACTTTGGTGCCACCCAATTCGTCGATAGGTGTGGGGGCATTGGAGAAAAGACTAATGTTTGCAATGTGGGATGAGTCCTGCATGTAGCTGCAGGCAGCGCAGGTCCAAACTTCGACTTCTATGTCGATGCCAATGTAGAGCAGCCCGGGGTCAGCTTTAAAGGGAGATGGCACTGGGCCATGTCTGATAATTTTTTCCAGAGAATTGTCCAGCCCAATGGGAGCAGGGTAGCAGAGGAACAAAGGAACCAGTGAGAGAGGGAAGCTAGGGGCTGCCATGTGGTTGAGAATGGGTAGGAAAGCAAGGAAAATGGTACATGTGGATTGAAATTTATAAAGGCAGCCCATGGCTTACGGTGGAACCAAACAGCCAATGGGACAAGAGGATGATCAGCCAAGACGGGGTAAGTGTGGAAGAAGGTCATGCAAGATTGAGAGGATAAGGGCATTGCACCATTAAGGGATTGGAGTTGAGCCACCGAGATTTGGAAAGGATTGTCGATGCGTGACTTGCGCATCACCACAAATCTGGAATGGTCGGAGGTGCGGTGGTTGCTGTTGCTAACCGCACAGCAGTGGCAGGAGAGGTTCAAGAGCATGGGCTCTAGGATGCCCGGGAGCTAGATTACAGTAGGGACCTGCTCAAACAAGCGATCGTCATCCTCAGCCACGGGTAGTCCGGCCATCTTAGGGTGATACACCTCCTCATACAGATCTAGGATCTTGTGCAACAGCTTAACGTCACGCAGCCACTTGCGACCAGACTTGTTGCGCTGGGAGAGGAGCATTTTCTTGACAGCATCCAGAGAATAGCCAATCAGGATATTGCACAAGAGGAGATGATTTTCACCGTTGGCTTTCGCGGCGGTAAACTCAGGTTCGGGGTCAACATACGACTTAATGTCGATGTATGAACCATCCAGCGGGCGGTAGGCAATGAGGAGGGCTTTGCGGAAGCAGTGTGTGTAGACACGCATCAGCCACTGAAACACGTGGTGGGCATAGGTCTTGCGGGGAAAGTGGAGATTTTCTCCAGCCAACGATTCAAAGTTAGGGACCTTGCTGGAGGTGAACTGGTTGTTGTGAAGGGTAGCCTTCACCCGTGCCACTATTTTGTGGCGATGGTCATCAGCGAGGGAATTTGGGAAGATGACAGTCACGAGTGTGAGGAGATCCATGTCCATTGAGACAACTGCTTCGCCGATTGAGTCGCGGTTGCGATGGAGGTGCATGAAACTGCACGAAGCCACCCCAGAGTGCGCAGGATTGGTCTCACCAGATTCGATTTTTGACCGGAAGCCATTGTGGAAGGCTGTGAGATGGACGAGGGGGAGGGTGGGTGTTTATATGGCCATATTGATAGCCACTGACTGCCTACGGTTGCAACGGCCAGCCCCTTAAGGGACGTGAACGTGCAGGCCTTAATAGAAACGCAGAAGTGCAATTGAGCGCGATGCCAGTCAGAGCTCGCGTGGCTGAGCGACGACGAGTCAGAACAGGTAGGAAACATGTGGGTGCTTTGGCAATGGCCTCAGCAAACCCTGGAGTCTGACGTTGTGCCAGCACGTTTGAGTGCGTATATACGTAGGATGTGAGTAGCTGACTTTCAAACGTGAGTAAGCGACCAAGTGATTGTCGTAGCTTATGTTTTCTCGGGTAGAGCCGGCAGGTAGCCAAGTAAAGTTGAGTTACGCACATCGTAGTGAGCAGCAGAAATCGCGTAGATCCGAGTCAGGAGGGGAGTGACGAGCAGGATTCACAGGGTTGGCGAGGTATCAGAAGTGGTTAACAAAGGGCTTCCTGTTGCGTTTTGGGCCAGTGAATGCCAGCCTTAAATCAGCACACGTGTCAAGGGGAAGAAACCAAAACCCACCTGTGGAATTGGGGCCAACTGACAAGGGCTGAGTACCGATGGGTTCAGCATATGTGGCAGCAGGGAAAGGAGAGCGAAGTGCAGAATCCACAGGGAGGGGACAGCATTTTTCCGTCGGTGGAGAGGTGAAACCAAGCTGGTCATTGGTGGGGAGAGAATCCGGGAACACCTGGAGTTCCAAACCTCGAACCGATACGCAACCCACCAAAGAGAAACTGACACAAGAAATACGTTGATTTGCCACACCGCTCTTCTCCATCCCCTTCCCCCTTGCCCCATCCCCCAGGGGGAGGTGAGGTGACAAATGACGGGGACGAATTCGGGATGGGACAACAAACTTGCAAACACGAGTTGTTGTAGGCAGGGAACATTGCAGTGAGCTTGGCAAATGATCTAACGCATACGCGTTACGAACCCAACGAGGTAAAAAGAATGCCGGAAATTTCACACCATTTTTCTGAGCCAGAAAACCCTCTTCAGCTGTTCCATTTTCGCTGCGCCCGACCTTCCAAACAGCGCGGGCTTAATGTTGGTGATGTCCCAAACCTCAGAGCTTGCTTCAGATCAGAACAGGCTTCACATTTTAGGGAAATCATTTAGACCAACACTCCGGACGATTGCATTCCCAATAGCCAGCGCAATCTACTGTCATGTCTTCCAACTTTTCTCGTATGAGCGCTTTCTGTTTGAGATCGTTGCGCGATCGCAGCTTTAAACTTGCGATGGCGGGGAGAGGCATGGAGCTAAGGCTAAACGGAGTGGTTGTGAAAGTGCAACCAGCGAAGACGACGTACGAGATGAGGGAGATAACCGCAGGCTTGAAGGAGCGAGCGAAGAAGTTAAAAGCGCAAGTAAAGAAACAAGGCAAGGTCATGGCAGCTTTGAAGTGAGAGGTATACAAAATGAGGCGCCTTGTTGAGCAAGTGAGGGGGGAGGCGAGGGACGGGGTGAGCGAGGCGAGGGCATTGAGTATACGACAGGCGGCGAAGATAGCAGACATGCGGGGAATGGTGGCGTGCACCGAGACGCGGATGAATGACGTGGAGCTAGCAGTGGCGGAGTGGAGGGACGCACCGCACAAGAAGGGGCATGCTGAGCGCAGTGATGGCAGTGCGATGGAGCATGAAGATGCGGAGAGGCGCGAGGGGAGAAAGAGGAAGGTATTGGAAAAGGGGGGGGGGCACATTTTTCCGCAGATGCTGCTGCTTGCGGAGGTGCTACTCCGGTCGATTCGCCATCTTCTGATGAACAGCGGCATGTAGCGGACGTTACCAAATAGGAGGCTGAATGGCAGGGTGGACGAGGTAGGACGGAGATTGACGAATCTGGAGAAGACGTGTGCTGAAGAAAGAGGATATGGGAGGTGAGTGGATCAACGAGTTCACTCCCGTGCTTTCCAACAATACCTTTTCCGCCACTATCACTAAAGAAACTGGTGGCATGGCATGTCAGCACACGCCTTCCGTCGTTGATGGCTCCAGAACCACCATCTCCTGCACAGGAAGTACCCACATTGTTGTCCTCCATCACTCGTGTCTACCATTGACTGCCTTGGCTGTAGGCATTGCTCACCCTATGGGCGGCAGCAGTACCAGAGCAAAAGGAAATGGACCTCAGCTGCATCTCCTGCCTCACCAACACTACTCTCACCTACCTTGCCTCCTTGCACTCCCTCACATCCGTCAACCTCAAAGCGTCCTCGGGCTTCACTGCAGCCGGCATGAGGAAGCTTTACTTTCTCGCAGGCCTGCTCTGTCTGGAACTGGGTTCTCTCGGCACAACTAATGCCGCTCTCGAAGGTATGAGCTGCCTGAAAAATCGGCCCACCCTTGTAGTTAACAACACCAATGTCACAAACGCGTGAGTGGCTAGGCTGTATGAGCTATCTAGCCTCACAGCACTGTGCATGAGTGGATGTGCATCTGTCACGTCTGCTCGCATACTGCACGTGGGAAAAAGGGCATCATTGCAGTTGCTCATACTGAATGGCAGTGGGGTGATGGAAGATGGGCTGAATTATATGACTGCCCTTGCATCTCTCAAGGTATTTGCTATGCCTCCAGGTGTGACGAACTCGGGCTTAAAGCACATGATGAATCAGAAAAAATTGGAGACGCTTGCACTGTGGAATGTCAGAATCACTGCGTCAGGCATGGAGTGGCTGAAGGCCCTAAAGTGCCTAAAAAAGGTTGCAACTTTTTTGTACGAGATGGAGGAATTGATCAAGGACGTTATACATGGGATAACTACATCAGGTCCAATTAATGCATGATGTACCATACCAGAACTACCGTAGTTGTATGATATAAGATCTCTGTCTATCACAATAGTCTTGCTATAGTAGAGGAAGTCGCATTTTTTTACCAATAAGAATTGTTGGTCATGTCGTTTTGAAAGTAAGTCGCATTTTTGTACCAATATGAATTGTTGGTCATGTCGTTTTGAAAGGGTTATTCTCTCATTACTTCTTGTCACACTGCATTGAATTTGAACCATTTTGAATACATAGCTCGGTCTGTACGTAAGGACCGAACCATCCGTCCTCGTTATTAGTACGGTAGTTGCGTAGAAGTTCGATAGAAGAAGTAGAACGCCCTAATCCACGCATTAGCTATTTTTCCAAAGCAATCACTTCGAGAGCACATTCGCTGCAAAAAATGCTGACGGTCTAGAAATCTATGCACCCCGTACAGAAGCTACCCGGTGTGGCCGCGAAGGTGCGTGACCCCTTCAATTACAATCAAATATATGTACAAGAGGTACATTCACAGAATTCTAGAGGCATAGAAAACAAACAGCTATGGTAGTAGGAGGGACTAAGGGCGCTCAACCATCCGGACCTAAGTAGGCAAAGTCAGCCACCGAGGGGAGGGTGGCCTTGGATGCCAGCAAATCAGGACCACTAGTAAAACTAATATGGGAATGACGACATACTGTCCGGGCTTGCTGGCACTAAAGGACAAAGGAGACGCACTTGAAGAAGTTGGTTTCCAAAATTTGAGGCACAAGGTCTGTCGTACCGCTCTTGTCACGGATACGAGCTGCACCACGCCGGCTGCAGTCCTAAAGGAACTGGAGAAAGGTCTTTTTGAAGCAACCGAAAGTCTCGATAGCCAGGGGGGAGAACTTGACATCATGGCGATCGTGTAATGAGGCAGCATAAAGCGAGTTCTTTTCCAGCTCCCGAGCACCAGCAGCAGACCTGATGATAGTAGCAGTGTTAGAGGGAGGAAAACCATGCTGTGGATCTGCCACCGTGACATTCAACGCCCTAGTAACCCCAAAACTCATATCTCTGCAACTAATGTCGAGACGACGACCAGCCAAGAGGTGGCTGTCCTCAAGCTGGGAAGGCAGACCGAGCTCCTTGACAATCCGGTGAACCTCGTATTTGACCGCGTCATGGACCCTGGTGGGCTCATTTCCAGTAGGGCTGCGAAGGGCATGAGAGGCAATCGATGGGTCCACGTAAGAGAAACCACACACAAAAGCGCGGGAGGTGATGAGGTGAGGGATGGGAAGGCTGGGGCGGATTGCAGCTGCAATTCTCCATTCGGTTGGGGAAAACTGAAGGTGCTGCGAGGATGGAGCCACAGTCAGCCAGTCACCTGCATGGGGCCTTTGTAAGGAGGTTAAACGGGCCAAATGAAGGGAGAAGTTACCGTGGAGCGAATCCATTCGAGCACGGCAGCTTCCTTGAGTTGGGGAGAGGTAGGAGTAGAGTTTGTGGGGGTATCCAGAAATGAGGGCAGGCCAGGAGAGGAAAAGGTGAAGAATGTCTGGGGGAAGGCGTGACATGGCTGAAACGATACAAGAGTCAAGGCGGTCTATGGTGTCGCTGGAAATGAAAGGGCAGAAAATAGGAGGACCGGCGATAAAGAAGTGGGAGGAGAGGAGAGGAACATTCTGAGCCCAGCTACATAGGAAACTAAGATCAGCAAACCTAGCAGAAGAGCAGATGCTAATACCACCTAGACGGATAGGGAGGAATGGCTGGTGGTGTGCAGTAGGGAGATGGTCAAACTCAGGTGGCCAGTTTTCAGAACCAATGAGGCGGGTGAAGTGATCAAGCAGGCTATCATCCCAATCGGTGTACAACTCTGTGATTTCAGGGAAAGGAGGGATCGTGCGTAGGAGGAAGGAGGGGCCTGCTGAGACATAGAGGGTTAGAAGACGAGACGCTGTCTGAGGGTCGTGAAGGTCGTGGAGAAGAAGCAGTGATGCAACAAAAGAGCGGAGTTTCTGGCCGACAGAGGAGATGATGTATGAGTCAGATCTAGTAGGTATTTTGGTCACAGTGAGGCCATTAGGAGCGATGGTGAGATTTGGTGGGGGGGTAAGGGCCATAAAGAGGGCACTAGGAAGGCTGGACGATCAGACCGAGAGGCTGTAGGCGGGAAGTAAGGGTGTTGTACATGGCGAAAACGTCTGGGGCTCGGCCAACAATGTAAGTGTCGTCGGCATATGAGGTGATAAAAGTTTAGGGGTGTAGTTGTTGAGTAGGGTGAATGGCAACCTGCTGAGTAAGGGCATAAAGGAAAGGTCTACATGGGTCTCCTTGCCATACAATTGAAGCTGATTGGAGTGTCTCAATGATAGGGCCGTTGCGGTAATGGAGGGGAGAGGGTGCAGCTTAGAAGAGGCGGAAGAAGGGAATAAGGGAGGAGAAGGGGAACTAGCAGAGGACGTCGAACATGGAGATGCGATTGAAGGAGTTGAATGCGTTGGCAATGTTGATCTCAAGAACCACCTAATCCGGGTGAAGGGATAGGGCAGCTTGAGAAGCATGCGCCATGGCCTTAATACCCGCAGGGATAGCGACGCCGAATGGAAGGGAAGGGAGGAAGTAATCTCGGATTTGCTGTTTGTAAATGAGTGTGACGCAGCGGGACAGCAAGCGAGTAAGGACCTCTCCAATGGCGATTGGCTGGACCCCACCTTGGGGCTTGCGTAGGGCGACCAGAGTAGAAGCTGTGTAGCAAGTCCGAACGGCGGGGAAGAGGTTCCCTTGCAACCAGGATCGGAATAGGTGGAGGAGATATGGGAGGTGGGACTCGGAAGAGAGAAATGTGCCTCGCAGATGCTCGATGAGCCATCCTGAAGGGCCAGCAGCTCTGCCGCGTGACGCCGAACGGAGGGCTTGGTGCAGTAAGGGAACCGTTAGCTGAGGGATTTCTATAACAGTGAAAGAAGCCACCCAGTCAGGGATCACGGCAGCAGCTGGAGGATGCTTCGCACGAAGCGTAGTGGCCGTGTCTGTGGATGGTGGTGCCAGTTCGCTTGCCTCCAATGCTGCAAGGGATTGGGAAAAATCGCCACACCGAGCGAACCGTTTTGCTCGGTTAATCCGTGCTTGCGAGGCTGTGGACCATGTAGAGGTAAGCGGGTGGCTGGGACAGCTGCAGCAAATGCCTCCTAGAAGAGGGAATCGTGTCGCCTTGGAGGAAGCGACGAAGAAGCGCAGCGCAAAAAGAGGTAATTGACGTGGCCGGTGCACAAGGCGGAGAGCGAAGGACTAGGCGAGGGAAAGTAAGGATGACGAGGTGAGCAGCTGTGTCACATGGGCGAGCAGCGAAACGGTGGAGAAGAATGAGGAGGGCGTTGAGCATGAGGAGGTAGATGCGAGAAGGAATGCGTTGAATCAATGGTCCTGGCATGACAGTGGGGCTGAAGAAAGCTATCCAGTCCCAGGTGAGTACCGCATCCCAAGTCTGCTCTGAGATGACGGGCAGGGACGATGTTGGTGGGGCATTGGGTGGGGGGCGGGGTGGTGGAGGGGAGCAGCCTATTGGCGGGCAGTAGAGTGACGCGAGCACACGGTTAAATGGCAAGAAAGGTTGCCAGAGTTGGCGCAGGAGAGGTTGCAAATGGGGCAGTTGAAAGAAGGGGTGGCGGGAGAAGGGCCCGCAGGAGGGAGTGGAGTAGGAGAAGGTGGTGGGTGTGTAGTGGGGGCTGGGGGGTTTGGTGCTTGCTGAGGCGGAGGTGGGGGTGGAGCAGAAGGAGGTGGCGGGTCGTTGGGGGTTGGCGAGGGCGGAGGACGATGCGAGCTTGGATGCGTAGAGTGAGGGTTGGGGGGAAGAGGAGGAGGATGTTGCTGGGAAGGCGAAGCATCAGTTTTGTAGTGTGATAGTGGGTGCGTGTCATCGGTAGGGGCCGTGGGACCAGAAACATCTGCTGCGGTAACTGGAGGGCTTGAGGTAGGTGAGGGTTGGTCATAAGAAGGCGAGGGCGAAGGATGAGAGGTTTGAAGGCGTGATGAAGACGATGAAGTAGGAAGAGTTTCCTTAAGAACCTGTTGAAGGACATCCTTTGTTTTTCAAGACAAATTTTGGATGTTGTATGGGGTTGCTAAGGTAGAGGAGAAGATGGTGGAGGTTTCAAAGAGTCACCCTACAACGGGAGTGGACTACGGAGGAGGGCACGGGGTTGTGTGGGTGATCGGGGCGTTCTACTAGCAATCTTACTGCTTGCTATGTTCACAGAGAAATTTGGCAAGAGTTCCAATTGTTGTGCCAACACACTATAGTGGCACGGTCATCGCACTCCCATTCAGCCTACAAGCCTGCTCAGCTTCTGGAATTTTGAGGGGAGGTTCTTCAACATGTCTTCATCAGACCCTCAAAGTTTCAGAATTTTTGAAGCAGTTAACAAGGCATGACAACATTTTAAGTTTCAAGACCTGTGGCATCCCGGAAGTGTGTGTTACTCTTTTTTGGTAACACCCGAGTTCACCATTTCGGCTGCTGACTCGTCTACCAAGCTCTGATTGGTCTGAAAAGAGGTGGTCACCAAGTTTCAGAACGATCCAAAATCGCAGCAGCGCGTAACAGCTGTCGAAAGTCACTGTTCCGTTGTCATGGTGCACTGTTGGCAGCATTTCCCTTGCCACCCTTTCATTGCTGTCATGCCAATGATGCGGGGACAGAGAGTGAGACAAGAAGTACAGGTGGTCAAGTGGGACTCTACCACCCTCCTTTTGAGAAGTGTGGTCTTCCTGGAAGCAGCTTGCAAGAGGGTGCAAGTGGGAAGACAAGCTGACTCATGGTTGGCTTGACTCACTATTGGTAGCCTTGAGTACAGCTCTGAACATCCAAGTGTGGTTGGCTTTGCTGACCTAGCTAGGACGTTTCTCATCCTTCTTGAGCCTTTCTCCCCTAGTAATCAACCTTCTCTGAGTTCCCAGGATGACCCCAACCCCTTAAGAGTCCCCTAGGCAATGTTGTACTCACCTCTCCCTTGCATCAATGAAACTACTCGTTTTCAGCCGAGCTAACGTTTTCATTCACGCGTAGCGCATACACCTCTGATGAAAGCAAGCAATATACCGTTGGAAAGCAGACACCTAAGGCTAACTGCTGTCCAAGTTTCAGCCTCGTATGTTATCGGAGCTGATCGTGACGGCGTTTTGAACAGAGGCGGTTTGAAGTCGTCAGATTCTGCTTAGGCGGTTTCATGGGCATCCGCGACCCCTAAGTGGACTCTAGACTATAACAAGTGGTATCAGAGCTGTTCTACTCTGTTCGTGGGTGAATATGGAGGCTGAAGGTTCTGCTCCAGCTGGTCCCAGTGGCAGTGGTGGCGTGAGAGGCGCTGGGGAAGAGGGAAGATGCGTTGCAGGCGGATCTGCACTAGTGGCTTCCGTTTCAACATCAGCTAAGGATGATGTGAAGGCATTCAACCTGGAGAAGTTCTCTGGGGAGGATTGGGCATCATGGAGCTTCAGGATGGAGCTCCTCTTCAACCATTATGGGCTGCTTGAAGTGATGGATGGAGAATTGAAGAGGCCTGCGAGCGAAGGAGCGACCAAGGAATGGGATCGCCGGTCCAAGGATGGATTCTTCCTTCTCTCCCAATGCCTCTCATCCAACCAGCTGCACCACATCAAGCATCTCATCAAGGAGGTTCAGTGTGGTCCTAAGGCATGGAAGATATTGAAGGATGTCCATGCCCCCAGCAGCGAAGCGATGGTGGTGGTGCTTGAGCGACAACTCCATGCGGTGAAGATCAACGAGGGTGATGCCGTACAAGGAGCGTTCGATCAACTCCGGGACCTCTATGTGAAGCTCTCTGCTGCTGGTGTGGACTACCCTGAGAAGATCAAGTGCTACAAGGCTCTCTCCCTGCTGCCGGAGTCGTGGGGGCCCTTGGTGGTAAGCCTCAATGGCATGAAGGAGTCGTGGTCCCTTGAGTGGATCCGCGCACAAGTTCTTCAAGAGGAGTTTCGGAGGAAGGAGCTGACCGCCGCTGCCGGTGAAGGTGGTGGCTCTGCCTACGGCATGAAGAGCTTCAAGGGGCAAAGAAGGCTCTGGAGGGGAGCAGCATTCGGGAGGGAAGCGTGGCAACAAGGGAGGCAAGCGGTGTGGCGGCAAGTGTTGGTATTGCCATGTGGAAGGTCACCCATGGTTCAAGTGCCGCAAGCTACCTGACGGTTGGAGGCCTGGTCAGCCATCACTTGAGGGCTCCAAGGGTGTTCATGGAGCTATGGGAGAAGGCATGGGCAGTGAGGAGGGCGATGGAGGTGCTGGCGGATACGGCGGCATGTTCTACCATGTAGGAGAGGCGTGCTCCGAGGAGATGGTTGTGCTGGCTAGCAAGGTTGCTCTTCACCGCTCCTCCCATTGGGTCATCGACACGGGAGCCTTCATGACCATGACCAACCGAGAGGATCTACTGGATGAAGTCAGGCCATCAAAGGCAGCCACCGTCGTTTCAGCCACCGGCCAAGTTGTACCCGTGCGTGGCGAGGGGAGAGCCATGTTCATGGGTGCGGATGGGAGGCTTGTGGGGCTGAAGCGTGTTCTCCTTGTTCCTGGATTGTGTGCCAACCTACTCTCTACCAAGGCCCTGAGTGAGGCAGGGATGAAGATGGAGATGCTAGGCACAAAGGTTTTCAAGGCAACTCTGGATGGGCGCGTGTTGTGGGACCTCCGAGGCGGCAAGGACATGCACCGGTCCATGTGGGAGATACCGGTGCTGCCATGGAAGGAGGCGGCTGCGCGCTTGGCTGCTGGAGATGTGAGAGGAGGGCGTGTTAACCACGTGGACAGTGAAGGAGGTGGTGATGACAGTGATGGTGGGCTCCTTCGGCATGGTGGGGCTGCGCTACCAAGTGTAACTCCTAGCACGGGTGAGACGGATTGGCTCACCGCACACCGTCGCTTTGGCCACGTGGCGCTACCTCAGTTGCAGCAGCTGTTCAAGGAGGAAAGAGTCAAGGGGCTGAGGATAAAGGGGGAGCCCAAGGAGGTGGGATCTTGTGAGACTTGCTTGACCAGCAAGTTTTCACGGTTTCCCTTCCATTCGGTGGAGGGGAAGTCGAGTGACCCGGTGGAGCTCGTGCATGTGGATCTCGTGGGACCCATGAAGGTGAAGGGAGATGGTGGGGCCCTGTATTCCATGACCATGGTGGATGACAACACGAGGCTCACCTGGTCCTTTCCACTTGCAAAGAAGAGTGATGCTACAAGGGTCATCATTGAAGAGTGGTTGCCCATGGTGGAGCGAGAGAGCGGCAAGCGGGTGAAGGCGATTCGTAGCGACCGTGGTGGGGAGTTCTTGGGAGCGGAGTTCCGGAGCTGGCTGAAGCGGCACAGCATCAAGCAGTAGCTCACCACGGCCTACACCCCTCAATCCAATGGCGTGGCAGAGAGAGCGAACCGGACCATCATGGAGGGCGGGAGAACGATGTTGGTAGACTCGGGTCTACCCTTACGGTTCTGGCCCCTCGCTATTCGCCATGCCACCGTCATCAAGAACCGAGTATTGACTCATGTGGGAGGGCAGCATTGGGTCCCTATGGAGAAGTGGAGAGGCAAGAAGCCCCTGGTGGATATGCTTTGAGTCTTCGGGTGCATGGGACTTGTGCACATCCCTAAGGAGAAGCGTGACAAGCTTCAAGCGGCTGCAGTGTGGGCTGTTCATTTAGGTCTTGCTCGAGGGAGCAAGGTTTGGCTCATGTGGGACCCAAAAAACAACACCATCTTCACCACAAGAGATGCCAAGTTCATGGAGGAGCTCATGCTCAAGGAGTGGTTGGAACGGAGGAGGAGCAAGGTGACCATTCCACTTGGAATGGATGTGGGAACGAACGACCCACTTCTCATTCCCATCGAGTTGTCTTCATCTTCAGAGGTAACGGAGGTGTCACATGACTTGGGAGGTGCTGAAGGGGAGGCAACAGAGGTGGGGGGAGTGTTGCAGCAAGAGGAGGCCCCTGTAGCTGAGAGAGGTGATGCCGAGGAGGAGGTGCAGCAGCCTACACCATCCCCTACACTTCCACCAAGGCGGACAACCCAAGGGAAGCGTGGTGCTGTCCGTGGTGGAGCTAAGGAAGGTGCAACCTAAGAGAGGCCCAAGAGAGCTGCTCACCCAAGGGATTTCCTCAAGTATGAAAGGCTTGGGGGTCCCAAGGCATTGCTTGTCCAGGAGGAGGAAGATGATGAGGAGAAGGGAGCCGAGGGAGAGATGGAGCAGATTTGTTGCTTCGGTGTCAACTTGCAGTATGAACCGGCTTCAATGGAGGAAGCACTTGCTGGAGATGATCGAGAGGCTTGGTTGGCTTCAAGGGAGGATGAGCTCCAGAGCCACATGGAGAATGGAACGTGGACCCTCACCAATCTGCCCCCGGGAAGAGAGGCATTGGACTGCATGTGGATATTACGTGTAAAGTTCGATGCAGAGGGGAAGTTGGAGGGGCGCAAAACAAGGCTTGTGATCAAGGGCTTCCAGCAGAGGGAGGGGGTTGACTTTCAAAAGGTGTTTGCTCCTGTTGCCAAGGCTCCTACGCTCCGGGTGTTACTAGCAGCCGCTGCTGTTTGTGGCTGGAAGGTGGAGCAAATGGATGTGAAGACGGCATTTCTCTATGGCGTGGTAGATGAGGAGATCTACATGAAGCAGCCAGAGGGGTACGACGATGGGAGCGGACGTGTTTGCAGGCTCAACAAGGCCATCTATGGCCTCAAACAAGCTCCAAGGTGCTGGTATGCAAGGCTGGTGGAGATGTTGGAGGCTCTTGGCTTCAAAGTTAGCGGGTGCGACGAGAGTCTCTTCATGACCGAGGGGGAGGAGGAGAAGGTGTTTCTCCTTGTCTACGTCGATGACATCCTCCTCTTCTCCATCCCTATACAGGATCAAGGAGGTGCAAGGGAAGCTGAAGGAGACCTTTCAATGCAAGGCCCTTGGACCAGTGGGGTATTACCTTGGTCTTCATGTGGAGCGGGACGAGGTGAAGGGATGGTTGAGGCTTCACCAACACAAGTACCTGTTAAATTGTAATGTGTTATATGTTGGCAGGCTGTAGTGGGGTAGCCAATATGGGGTACAACCCACGGTCTTCCCCTTGCGCATACACCACGGTCGACAACTACTCGCGTTACACCACGGTCTTCCCCTTGCGCACCAAGGGTGAGGTCCCTGCTGTTCTGATCCCTTGGATCCGCACAGTTCGTCTCCAGCTCCGCCGCCGTTTCCGGACGGATCTTCCTGTCCTGCGTCTGCACTCTGACAGAGGTGGTGAGTTTTCCTCCGATCTCTTGAGGACCTTCTGTCAGGCGGAGGGCATCGAGCAGACCTTCACGCTTCCGGACTCCCCACAGCAGAATGGGGTTGCTGAGCGCCGCATTGGCCTGGTCATGGAGGTCGCTCGTACCTCCTTGGTCCACGCGGCGGCTCCCCATTTTCTGTGGCCGTTTGCTGTCCGGTACGCCGCGCATCAGCTCAACCTCTGGCCCCGTGTCTCCTTGCCAGAGACCTCGCCCACACTGCGTTGGACGGGGGAGGTTGGTGATGCGTCACGCTTCCGGGTGTGGGGTGCTTGTGCCCTTGTCCGCGATACGTCCGCGGACAAGCTCTCCTCCCGCACGCTTCCCTGTGTCTTCCTTGGCTTTGTCCCTGACGCGCCGGGCTGGCAGTTTTACCACCCCACCTCGCGCCGGGTCTTCGCCTCTCAGGACGTCACCTTTGACGAGTCGGTCCCTTTTTACCGTCTCTTCCCCTACCGCACTGCCCCCCTCCCTCCCCCGCCGCTTTTCCTTGCTCCTGGTCCCCCTCCGGTAGACCCCCTTCCCCCTCAGGGTCCTGCTCCTTCAGGTGTCTCTCAGGTAGACCCTCCTCCCGTCGCTGAGCCTGTCGAGGTCACAGGTGACTCAGGTGCTGCTGCAGGTGGTGCTGCTGGGAGTGCTGAGCCTGGGGGTGCTGAGCCTGGGGGTGCTGGAGCTGCTCGTCCTGGGGGTGCTCGTACTGGGGGTGCTGGAGCTGCCGGGACTGGTTGTTCTGGGAGCACTACGACTGGAGCTGCTGGAGCTGGGGCCTCTGGAGCTGGCGGTGCTAGCGGAGTTGGAGCTGCCGACTCTGGGGGTGCTCTTCCTAGCGGTGCTGCGGACCCTCGGGGTGGCGCTGCTGCTGGTGCTGCGGACCCACCTGGTGGAGCTGCTGCTGGTGCTGAGGACTCGGACGTTGGAGCTGCTGCTGGAGCTGAGGACCCGGGCGGTGGCGCTGCTGCTGGTGCTGGGGACCCGGACGTTGGAGCTCCTGCTGGTACTGAGGACCCGGCCGCTGGAGTCTCTTCTGCTTCTGGAGACGCTGCGCGGCCGCGACCGTACTTCGTACCACTCCTTCAGCAGGTTCTTGGGCAGGCTCCTCCTCCTTGTCCTCCTCCCTCCGTAGAGTGTCCTCCGCCTGTCCAGCCGCAGTCGCAGTTACCGCCTACCTCGCCTCTCCCTGCTCCCTCTCCTTACACTGGTCCCACAGGAGGTCTTACAGAGCATCGTGAGCCTGAGTCTCGTCCTGCGTCGCCTGTTCGTACTGCTCGCACTGGTCGTCGTGTCCGTCGTGAGCGTCCTCCTCCTGTCCCCGGCACTCACTACATGACTCTGCGTCCATCTACTGCTCCTCAGCGTGTCCCTCTACCGTCTCCTCCTGCGTCCTCTTTGCCTGCCGTTCCGGACCCTGAGTCTGACCGGTATCGTGCTGAGCACCCTACTGTCACGCATCTCCTAGCTACTGTTGTCACTGACCCTACATTTGAGTCCTCGGCTGCGTCTGCTCTGGTCGCTGAGTTGGTTGACTTTGCTGCTGCCTGTCGTCTAGACTACGCTGCTAGCCTTGTTGCTGAGTCTGAGTCTGCGTCTGTCTGTCCTCCGTCCGTCGGGGGTGAGTGTGCTCTTGGCACGGACGTCCTTGAGGACAGGCAGGAGGACTTTGACTCTCTCGCGGCTGCTGTACCTCATCTCGTGGCCTGGTTGCTTGCCCCTGAGGGAGACCCGGATGCACTAGACATCCCCACTCCGCGCACTTACGCAGAGGCGATCTCGGGTCCCTACTCCTCTCAGTGGCAGACAGCCATGGACGCAGAGATGGCATCCTGGAAGTCCACAGGCACCTACGTCGACGACGTTCCCCCTCCTGGGGCGAACATCGTCGATGGCATGTGGATTTTCAGGGTGAAGCGGCCGCCAGGTTCTCCGCCTGTCTTCAAGGCTCGTTACGTTGCTAGAGGCTTCAGTCAGCGTCAGGGGGTTGACTTCTTCCAGACCTTCTCCCCCACCCCGAAGATGACCACTCTTCGGGTTCTGCTGCACGTTGCTGCTCAGCGTGACTATGAGCTTCACTCTCTTGACTTCAGCACAGCGTTCCTGCAGGGCAGCCTGCACGAGGAGATCTGGCTGCGCCGCCCACCTGGCTTTACTGGGTCGTTTCCTCCTGGTACCCAGTGGAGCCTCCGCCGGCCAGTCTACGGTCTCCGCCAGGCGCCACGTGAGTGGCACGACACACTGAGGACTACACTTGCGGCTCTTGGGTTCGCGCCGTCTACTGCTGACCCGTCGCTGTTTCTGCGCACAGACACGTCGCTGCCGCCGTTCTACATTCTCGTGTACGTCGACGACTTGGTCTTTGCTACTGCTGACACTGAGGCACTCGCTCGTGTGAAGTCGGAGCTGCAGAAGAGACACACCTGCACTGACCTGGGTGAACTGCGTAGCTACCTTGGCTTGTAGATCACCCGGGACAGAGCTCGCCGCACCATCACCCTGACTCAGTCACACATGGTGCAGCAGGTCCTTCAGCGCTTCGGCTTCCAGTTCTCCTCACCACAGGCCACACCTCTGGCTACCAGCCACTCGCTCTCAGCTCCACCTTCGGACGAGTCCGTAGAGCCGAGTGGCCCGTACCCAGAGCTTGTAGGCTGCCTCATGTACCTGATGACTTGCACGCGACCTGACCTCGCGTACCCTCTTAGCATCCTTGCTCGTTACGTTGCACCTGGGAGACACAGGCGAGAGCACTGGGAGGCTGCTAAGAGGGTGCTGCGTTACTTGTGCAGTACATCAGGCATGGGGCTGGTGCTTGGAGGACGCGACAGAGTTGTCCTCACTGGTCACTCGGACGCTTCTTGGGTGGACGACCTGGCTACGCAGCGGTCGTCACAGGGTTACACCTTCAGCCTTGGCTCTGGTTCTGTCTCGTGGCGGTCCACCCGCTCTTCCTCTGTTCTCGGCTCTAGTTGTGAGGCTGAGATCTACGCGACAGCCATGGCTGCACAGGAGTTACGCTGGCTCACCTACCTGCTGACTGACTTGGGAGAGCGGCCTAGTTCTCCTCCAGTTCTGTACGGTGACAACAAGGCGGCTCTTGGTTAATGTCAGGAGCACAGACTGGAGCACGGGGAGCTTGATGTATGCTTCGGTCAACACTCGCCCCGATATTGCGTTCTCGGTTTCGCAGCTGGCTCGTGTGGTGTCTAGGCCCCTTCAAGAGCACCTTGATGCAGCAGAGAGGCTGGTGAGGTACTGCATGGCAACCTCAAGGGTGGGGCTGCAATATTCAGTGCATGGGCAGCTGAAGCAAAAGGGAGTGGAGGAGGTGAGCACGAAGACCGGTGCACCTGCAAGGCGTGGACACTTGTACCTCTCGTGCTTCACCGATGCTACCTGGGCAAGTGACATCAGTGATGCAACATCCCATGGTGGCTATGTATGCTGTGTTGGAGGGAGTCCAGTGAGCTGGAAGTCTAAGAAGCAAGGGGAGATAGCTCACTCATCGACAGAGAGCGAGTACATGGCGTTGTTTCATGGGGTGAAGGAGGTGGTTTGGATGAGGAGGTTGCTTGAGGAGTTGGGGCAGGAGCAAGAGGGTCCTACACCTGTGTTTTGTGACAGCCAAGGAGCAATTGCAATGGCTCGCAATGCTGTGCTCCATGGGCTGAACAAGCACATGCATATCAAATGGCATTGGGTGAGGAAGGAGGTGAAGAAGGGCACGGTCTCCTTGCACTACATCAACACTACCAAGCAACCTGCAGATTTCTTGACCAATCAGCTTGCGGAGCATCAGCATTGGACCTGTGC